TGTAACTCACCCAATGTCCACATCCACAACTGTGTATGACATGACAAAAACATTTTTTTGTTTTAATTTTTTTGATGGACTGGGGAAGGATAAGGACTCCTCTCCAGATTTACTGCTGTTCTGCTGACAACTTATTGATGACAATGGTACCACCAGGCAAGAAGTGAGGGGATATCTGCAAAAGGAACACAGACAAAAATAACTAGAAAAACATTTTTTTTTAAATTTCTGTGTGTGTTGCTTTTGGAGATTTCACCACACTTCCTGTCTGGTAAAACGTTGTCAGCAGTACAGGAAGTGAAGGTAGAGCCCTTTAATGGGGCCCCTTCCCCACTTTATCCAAAAGTGAGGAAAAAAAACTATACACACACACACACACACACACACACACACACATTAATAGTAAATAATACATTTATTAATAATTTAATACATTATTAAATTAATTATTATTTAAGTTTGTTAAATCAATAATTTAACAGACTTATTAAATTATTGGTACATTTCATTTAACAATAATACATTTAAAAATAAACCCCTTTTACATTTATAAAGTTTACATTTGTGAGGTTTGCCTTTACTCCAACCTTCATGCAGCTTTTGAAGCTGGGGCATATCTTTGAATATGTTTTATATGTCATCTTATGCTACCTTTTTCATTTACTTTTAACTGAACTGAAACATAGTTGCTATTTTATTTCTTATTTTTTTTAATTTTGAAAAAATAACTCCAAAAATTGTCTAATGTTTTGCTTTTTTGTTTGGTATAAATGGGTAGCATTTTTCTAAATAACAGACCTTATCTTCATGCAGCTTTTGAAGCTGGGGCATCTTTGAACATGTTTTATATGTCCTCTTATGCTACCTATTTCATTTACTTTTAACTGAACTGAAACATAGTTGTTATTTTATTTCTTATTTTTTTAATTTTGAAAAAATAACTCCAAAAATTGTCTAATGCTTTGCTTTTTTGTTTGGTATAAATGGGTAGCATTTTTCTAAATAACAGACCTTGTAGTTACATTTATTGAAAGCTATTGATTTAATACCATGTTTTCTACCTCCAGAACCTGTACAAATCAGACTTACAGTGGCTGAGAGGCACTGGCTGGGTCCCCATTGGCTCGCTAGAAGTGGAGAAGGTCAAGAAAGCAGGAGAAATTCTTAGCGAAAACAAATACCGGCAGCACCCAGACAAACTCAAATTCACCAGTGTGACTGATTCCATGGAAATGGAACTGGCAAAGGCCAATGCTGAGATCATGAATAAGGTGATGATTGGAATAATTTAGACATTGAGCCGCTGTATGGGTTATTGTCTCCTACTGTCTTTACTTCAATAAGCAGAATTGCAGGTATTATTTCAGAAAATGTTGTAAGGCTGCAGAACTGCCTTCTTTTGAGCAAGGTTATCTCTTAACACAACGCATTCCATGCTGCAGTTGACAGAACTGAACAAAGATCTATAATTAAATCTTTAGAAATAGTAATAAGAGTTAGTGGACATCACCTTTTAACCACAGAAGAAGAAAAGGAACAGTTGAATCTGTGCGCCCAATATTCACCAATTACTGCAGAACTAGTCATGCTTACTGGTAAGAGTAAGAGTAGCACTTCAAGAATAAAGGTTCCTGGGTGGATGAAAGGTATTGGCTGGTTTCCTATCGGTTCCCTGGAAGTCGAGAAGACAAAGAGGGCCGGTGACATTCTGAGTGGTAAAAAGTACAAACAGCCTCCTGACACTATCAAATTCACCAGTGTCACGACTCCCTGGAGTTGAACCTGGCGAAAGCCAATGCAGAGATTATAAACAAGATAAGTTAATATAAGTGAACAGGTTTATTTTTTCCATATTACTGTAAATTTAACAGGGCACATAGTTTAAGTTCTTATCAGTCCTTACCCAAGGACATTATATTACCATGGTTCCAGGAGAGGACTGGAAACCTTAAGCCTGGGGGACCAACACAACCAATTTTAATGGTAGGGACATACTTCTGTGGGCTAATGAAAGTTTTGATTGTGCCTCACTGATTGCTGGCAATGGTAAAAGGTGGGCATTCCTAAAGAACATGTGGTTTATTGTGCCACACGTTTTACCTTTTCCAGCTTCAGCTTCCTTTGCGCTTCTAGGCATTCAGTCCCATGACATTTGAGAGCTGCAAAGAAAGTCCAACCTGGAAAACTTTTCTTTCACATGAGCTGTGATCGCAGGTCTGAACAGGGAGCAAGTAGCTGTATAATGCCCAGTATGTGTCAGTGACTGTGGGTACAGCTCTAAACAATGACTGAATATCTTCACCCAGGTCCACCAGCCTTACTTATATTAGTACTGGGCCCAAGCAGGGGTGCGGATAAATGTCTCCCTCCTCTGAGCTTGATCCTCCCCTGCATGGTACTACTATTTTTACCAATATAAACACATGTTTTGAGATGTTGGACGAGGTACACATTTTACAAGAACAGTTCTATTTACAAAATATATTCTCATAATCGGTTCTGCAAATAATATTAACTTTTTTTGTGTTTTTGTAGAGTGGGGAAGAGGCAGAACTTCTCTGTCCATGTTGGGTTAAATTACTATCACTTTCTGTCTGTGTGACTATTAATGCAAGAAGTGAGCAATGAAAATTGGAGAGAGGTTCTAAGCCCTTCCACTCTACTAAAATAGTGTTTCTTATGCTGTTCCTGTTGGAGAGATCCCCCCTCGCTTCCTGTTGCAGTAACATGACAGAAAGTGACATGAATTCTTCCCAATGGAGGAGAGCAGAGAAAGGCTCTAACCCTTTCCCACTTTATCAAAAATGAAAAAGGGTTTTGACTGGTGTTTGAATATGAAAGCTAATGTAATTTTTAGTAAAACCAAAAGATTTCATAACCTCCATTTTTTTTATCTTTTAGAAACTGTACAACGCAGCCTGGAATAAAGACAAGACCAACATCCATATCATGCCTGACACACCAGAAATTGAACTGGGAAGACAGAACAAGATAAACTACAGTGAGGTGAGTAAACTAGTATGCACATATACCGGATACTTTAATAATATCCCAATTTTAGATTGTAGAGTAGAAAAAGAGATCACAGTATGCAAACACCTAAGGGTTGATCCATAAACTGATTGCACAATGAACAGCTCTGCGAACGAGATTCACAGCACATTATGGCCAATAGATGGAGCAGAGGAACATTGGAAATTCCATCTAGTGGGCATAATGTACTGTAAATCTCGTTTGTAAAGCTGTCCACTGTGCGGTTTATTAATCATCCCCCTTCTGTGTGCTAACCCAATGTTGTTCAAGTGCATCATATACTGCACTTATTTTACAGATAAGATTGTGCTGCAAGGGCAGGCCAGGTCTTATGTCAAGCTCATATATGGCATCCGGAGTCACAGTGTTCGGGGTGGCAACAAGCGGAAACTTGTTTCATTCTTTTTATACTATTTTTATTGTATAAAAACAATAAAAAACGGTCATATCAATTTCATGCAAGGAGCACATACTATTAGAGAGACACTTTTGTACAAATTATTTTGCACAGAAATTAATATAGACAAGGTAATACATTGTTTTACTCAGAAAAGAGGAACGTAAGCACTGCTCCAAGCACTCCTACACCCTATGTACTTACACTGATGCAGAGAGGGCCAAGTGGATATATCAGATTCTCAACAGCAGAATGGGGTGCATGAAAACTTCACAGCTGTCACTGGGTGCAGTTACAATCCCCGATGCATCCCCACACTTGGTGCAATAAACTGGTGTCACATGGCCAGGTGCAGTGGAGTCACAGTGTATTGTCAGGGATTTAGCCCTGTATCCTCCCTGTGTTGCTCTGCAGCAGGGATTCATACACATCTGTTCAACCCACTTTTCATCAGTGTAAGTTCACATTGGGGCAGTAAAGTGGCAGTGTCCCACAAGAGGGTAATGCAGCAAAGAAGGGAAGGCCCTTAGAGCTATGGAGCTTTACCACTGACTCTATCTCTTTATATATAGTTTAAAAACAATCTGTACTTACTACTACATTTAGCATTCACTTCTAAATATGCAATAGCAGTCAATGTCTGCTTAGCTCTCCCTCTTGTGCTCCACCAGAGTGCAGTCTTACCTCCAGGCTGCTGTAAAATTTGGATTAGATGGAATATTTTACTCAGGTATAGAAAAAAGATAACTAAAACATGAAGTAAACAAAATAATTACTGATAGGTTTATCTTCCTATTTGCTCTACACAGCTCAGCTAGTTATAATTGCTATGCTAATGCTACATATGATCTTTCTCCAGTAAATTGTAGAAACGTGCTACATTTATCCACCAATAACATGGGTATAATCTATAAAAATATGTCTACATACTTTTTAGAGCTATAGATTTGCTAAATAATTATGAGTAAGATTATCTTTTAATGGTATATAGATCTGTATTGTCACAAAAGTCATAAGATCATAAGCTGTGGCACAACAACAAAAATTACCCCGGACAATTTTAGCTAATGTCATTGGTATGTTATTACTGAAACTAAATTAAGACTTTTCTTTCCCATTCAGAGCAAATACAAACAAGCTTTGGAAGAATCAAAGAAGAAGGGGTATGACCTCAGAGTTGATGCCATCTCTATCAAAGCTGCAAAGGCTTCACGAGATATTGCCAGTGATGTAAGTTGTGCTCTTCTGTTCTGGGGAATATTTTGTTCTATGTTCATATTGTTCTGATGAAAGTGATGACCTGTTCTTAAAACTTCACCATAACCTGGTATGGCTATGGAATGGTTATGGTATATGACTTGTAATTAGACAAAATAATATACAGGTATTTCCATATTAACATGGAGGGTTGGCTTCAGGAAACCTAGCATATTTCTGTGACACATACCGTATACTGTATGTCATTTATTTGTAATATATTATCATCTTATTTGTTGTTTAAAAATATTTATTTACAGTTATACATTTATGTAATCCAGCTATCTATATTTGTCAGAATTGAGGACTGTAAAGCAATGGAAACAACAAAACTTTAACAAAGTACATGTATGTGAAGTACAATACACATGTACAAAACAGTATATGAACGTGTCTGTTAATGCAGTTATATGCAAATTTTGGATTGTGCACACTGAAAAGTTGCTGTCCATCCCTGTGCCACAGAGTGTTTCTCATAGTGTGAAAATGTAACCTCTGGTGGCTCCAATCCACACTCTGGCTGTTAAAAGGCACCACTCTGAAAGGAGGGCTAGGTAAAGTCTGCAAAAGTGGACAATTTTGTCCAATAGTTTAAATCACTATGCTTCTCCTGGTGTCTAAAACCTGTGACTAGATTGACCTTAGTAGGCTAACTCTAGTGTCTGCTATCAGAAGCAAGGAAGACCACAATGAATGGCTATACCACAATTATAACCCAAATTCTGTGCTTTAAATTTAGAACAGTACGATTACATGTTGCTTTTAAACAATGAAAATGCATTACAATGGCACACAACTGTTACAAATTTGGCAAACATGGACTTAATGGATATAGAGATCAACATAAGTTCCTACCACTGAACAGGTTTTACTCTGCTAATTCTCCATTGCAGTATAAATACATTATAAGATACTGCAAGCAGCAGGCAGCAGGGACAATATATAGTTAAGACTTGTAATCCAGCATAATATTGTTTGACGCTGTAATTCTTTTTTCTAGTATAAATACAAAACCGGATACCGCAAGCAGCTAGGCCACCATGTTGGATACAGAAGCCTAAAGGATGATCCAAAATCGCTGTGGGCTGTGCATGTGGCCAAGATCCAGAGCGATCTGGAGTACAAGAAGGACTTTGAGAAACAAAAGACCCATTATCAATCTCCTGTGGAAATGCTGTCTGTGCTGATCTTCATGCAGCTTTTGAAGCTGGGGCATCTTTGAACATGTTTTATATGTCCTCTTATGCTACCTATTTCATTTACTTTTAACTGAACTGAAACATAGTTGTTATTTTATTTCTTATTTTTTTAATTTTGAAAAAATAACTCCAAAAATTGTCTAATGTTTTGCTTTTTTGTTTGGTATAAATGGGTAGCATTTTTCTAAATAACAGACCTTGTAGTTACATTTATTGAAAGCTATTGATTTAATACCATGTTTTCTACCTCCAGAACCTGTACAAATCAGACTTACAGTGGCTGAGAGGCACTGGCTGGGTCCCCATTGGCTCGCTAGAAGTGGAGAAGGTCAAGAAAGCAGGAGAAATTCTTAGCGAAAACAAATACCGGCAGCACCCAGACAAACTCAAATTCACCAGTGTGACTGATTCCATGGAAATGGAACTGGCAAAGGCCAATGCTGAGATCATGAATAAGGTGATGATTGGAATAATTTAGACATTGAGCCGCTGTATGGGTTATTGTCTCCTACTGTCTTTACTTCAATAAGCAGAATTGCAGGTATTATTTCTGAAAATGTTGTAAGGCTGCAGAACTGCCTTCTTTTGAGCAAGGTTATCTCTTGAAACTGCTCCCTTCACAATGCATTCCATGTTGCAGTTGACAGAGCTGAACAAAGATCTATAATTAAATCATTATAGATGATTAGAAATAGTAATAAGTTAGTGGACATCACCTTTTAACCACAGAAGAAGAAAAGGAACAGTTGAATTTGTGCGCCCAATATTCGCCAATTACTGCAGAACTAGTCATTCTTAGCACCAATCAGGTAAGAGTAGCACTTCAAGAATAAAGGTTACAGTTAAGGATATATTTAGTCAGGTGAAGGGTTAAGGCTTGAAGTTAAGTTTAGGGTTAGATTTTAGAGAGTTTGGTTTTGCATTTTAGGGTTAAAGTGTATGTAAACCATAGCTATGAACAGCTCTTTTTTCCCCAGTTTTGGTCTGTTTAGTATACATTGAAAGTGTAAAAAGTACTTGTTGGTCCTGCCAGGACTCCACTCTGCTTTTATCTTCCTGTTTGAGCTGGCAACACATTGGGGTTGATTTACTAAAGGGGTAGAGCATGTTCAACGTTAGAAAGTGAATTTTCGGTTTACAAGGGAATTTGCCCTTAGCTTAGAGAATGTGGTAAAATACACTTTGCAAAGAATAACAAATAGCAAAGGAAGAATTTTAAAAAAAATGCTTGCACATGATTGGATGATGCTAACCTTCACCGAGCTAATGGAAACTTCCATTAGCTAAGTGAACAGCCTATTTGCACTTCGCAAATCAACCTCAGGCTCCATGCACATACAGCATTTGCGTTTCCTGCGCAGTTTTACATGTGGAAGAAAACACAACGATGAAAACGCAAACATTTTTAATCTGCATGGATTACACACGTTTGCGGTTAATTATATAGCTGCAAACGTGCAGGATTCCTCCATATTATCGCGCTTGTACTATTTTGTGGTCAAATGGTCAAATAGAGAGTACCACCGCACTCCTGAGCGAGAAGCCCCTAAAAATGGGGGGTGGGGGGGTGCTGAAGTGGCTGTGGATTGTGTCGCCATGGTGATATGGCCTGCAAGAATGAATAAAAGGATTTTGTTTTGAAGAAAACTTGGAGTGCTAGTGACCATTTTTTCTGTTTTGTACTATTTTCCGGGCCGTGTTGCTTTGTACCATGCGGCCTCCGCAAAACTCTTAACAATGCACATTAAAGTGCATCGTCTTTTCTGTTTAGAGCGGCTCTGCGCGTTTCTGGCCAGGTGAATACGTGCGGACAACCTCTCCTGTGTGAATGGAGCCTTAGACTTTGCTGCACTGAAATCTCAAGCAGCATTATCAGCCCTGCCCTGTTCAGCTATGCTAAATACAGAACACCCCTTAATAAATGGTGATGAGGAGAGGCAGAGGTGTTCTGTAGCCAAAATCAGGAGCAAGGAGCTCACAGTTAGTGAGCGTTTTCACCCTAGGAAAGTAACACGTTAAATGTTTGTTAAGTCAGGGTTAAGTGATACACTGATGGGGCTCAACATAAACCTTCACAATCTCTTCTCTCTCTTCTGAAGGTGTTGCCAGCTGCACTGAGAATGATAGTTGCAATCAGCTTAGAATAATACAAGCAGATAGGGGCTTCCCATGTGTACCCATGTGATGTCAGCCAATCAAATTTCACCCCAGTAAAACAGAGAATGAATACTGATTGGCGGTTGTGAGATATTGTATACTGCACATTATTCTTTACCAGCTGATGTGTCTTTTGCTGTGTTTTAGACATTATTGTAACATTATTAACTCTGAAAATGTTGATGTCTCATAGCGCCTCTACACTGCAGCTTGGAACAAGGATAAGGGAACGCTCCATGTGATGCCTGACACTCCTGAAATCGAACTGGCCAAAGCAAATCGTGTCAATTACAGTGAGGTAGGTGGTTAATAGGGGTGAAAAAGCAATTTATATAACACGAGATTCCGGTAAATTCCGGTATGACTAGAACAATGTAATGTAGTGTAAACTGCTAAAAATAGGGACTGAACAGTGTTGTAAAGGTAAAATAGGAAAAACAGTAGAAGACAATGAGGGTGATATAAGCGAGGTGGTATGTCTGTAAAATCATTGAGGGAAATTTATCAAAACTGGAGCAGAAAAAATCTGGAGCAGTCGTGCAACCAATCAGCTTCTCTCTTTAGTTTTCAAATCTTAACTGAACAAACTGAAGAGAGAAGTGGATTGGTTGCCATGGGCAACTGCTCCAGATTTCGTCTGCTCCACTTTTGATAAATTCCCCCCATTCTATACCGATGACAAAAACAGGGAGTGAAAGGTAGCCCCATCTACAGCTTCTTACATGATATAGTGGACCAGCGCTAGGAAGGGCAGGTATCATTATTCACAAAACAACCAGAGCTTCATGTAGAGAGAAAATGAAACTGTATGTTTAGCTAAAAAACGTTTTTTTTTTTTTTTTAGTTTGAGATAGTTGGGATGCACGGAGAGCCTCACAAAAGACATGGCTTGCTTACTGCAGCGCCCCACCATTTTGGAAAAAGGATGGTGGCACCCAACAGCACTCAGCTATTTTGAAGTATCTGTAGGAGAGACATTTTGAGGCACTCAGCAGGCTTAACTTAAGTTCAATTATGTATATAGAACATATAAACAAAAAAAACACCAAGAGGACAGTGTCTTTTTAGAGAGATGGGTAACCAAGGTGATATGCTGTCATCCTTCTTCAACATTCTCCTTAGTTTGCTCCATTTAGTTTTGTATTGGGTTTTTTTTTTTAGCACAGTAGCATTTATTTTTGTTTTCTTACACTATTTATGTTTTTTGTCTTCTCATAGAAACTGTATAGACTTGCCCTGGAGGAAAGCAAAAAGAAGGGTTATGACTTGCGCGTTGATGCCATATCCATTAAGGCAGCAAAGGCTTCAAGAAATATAATCAGTGATGTAAGTTTCCTAAGACATCGCTTTTCATTTACTCGGAATGAAACAAATTTCAGAGCGGTTTTATTACAACATTTTGTTTGCCCTACAGTTTAAATACAAAGCAGGCTACAGACAGCAGCAAGGCCACCATGTTGGATACAGAAGCCTAAAGGATGATCCTAAATCGCTGTGGGCCGTGCATGTGGCCAAGATCCAGAGCGATCTGGAGTACAAGAAGGACTTTGAGAAACAAAAGACCCATTATCAATCTCCTGTGGAAATGCTGTCGGTGGTGTTGGCCAAGAACTGCCAGAAACTTGTCAGTGACATTGACTACCGCCAACACCTCCACCAATGGACATGTCTGCCAGACCAGAATGATGTCATTCAGGCCAAGAAAGCCTATGAGCTTCAGAGTGATGTACGTGATGTATCTATTTTCTATAAATCGTATTCTAAATTTGCAAAGTTTTCTGCACTCTGTAATTTAAAAAAAAATCTTTTTTAGGCTATCTACAAATCTGACCTGGAATGGCTGAAAGGTATTGGTTGGGTGCCTGTTGGTTCCTTGGAAGTGGAGAAGGCTAAGAAAGCTGGACAGATTTTGAGTGACAAGGCCTACCGTCAGAAGCCAGATACTATCAAGTTCACATCGGTTCCAGACTCAATGGAGATAGTGCTGGCCAAGAACAATGCACAGACCATGAATAAGGTAGGTGGACCACCATCAATATGAAATTGTTGAAACCTTTTAGTTTTTAGCGGGAAACTGTCATTAGTTTATGAATTTCATGGTAGAAGTTAGTACTAGTTTTTTGAGTAGTTATAGCAGACTTACTATGTTAAAAAAAAAAAAAAGGAATACAGTAAATACCCCATTATCCAGCATTCAAGCAACCGGCACTCTCTGGCAACTTGCAAAAACATAATATGTTCTTGATTTCTTTTGCGGTTGCTTGATAGACATGTGCACACTAAAAAATGTTGTTGGTAAGTAAATCTACAGAGTGGCCAGTTTATTATGACCACCCCATCAGTACTTCGTTGGGCCGCCTCGTGACTCCACGAGATGTTGAAAGGTGATGCGAGGAATCCGAAAGTCTATGACATCCAGAGTGATGTGAGTATAAATTCATAGATTCTGCCTGAAGGACAGTTACGGAAAGGCAGTTATAGAAGCATGATGATGGGATCCCATTTTAAAGGGATATTACCAAATGTGAACCTCTAAAGCAATCTTTGTGAAAGCAGATTTGGTTTTGTCTTACTATGGGCAGATTGGGGCAGGGTGGATTGACTGTTATTATTATTGTTATTATTATTATTATACAGGATTTAAATAATGCCAACAGTTTGCTCAGCACTTTATAAAATGGAGGGAGCCAGTACATTTACAATATAATGTCAAAACAGAAGGGTTAGGAGGGCGCGGCATGTGAGAGCTTACAATCTAATAGGATAGGAGAGAAGGGAAGGAAATGTCTATTAGTGTCAAATAAGGGTTAATATAATAGGGTTAAATAGGAACACTATTGATTTATTTATTTTACTGAATAAAACATTGCTTCATTTTTACTTTTGTTGACACTGCAGAGGCTCCTGCATAAATAAAACAAGTCCCGGCGGTCAAATTGCAAGTAAATGTCATGGAAGAGCTGTGGGGGAAGATTTGGGGCTACGCGTACTACACACACCCAAAGTGTATTTATTTGCTAACTAAATTCTCTGTTTACATTTTGCTGCTAGCCAGCAGCTAGATTCTGCAGTCGGCAGTTAGATTCCGCAGTTGGCAGCTGAATTTGAACAATGGGGAGCAATAGCCACCCTGCTATTGACTATTTCAAATTACAATAGCCAACAGCAGGCTGGCTATTGTACTTCCCCACTGGGCAGAGGAGCTGACATGAGAGAGAACTTTAAAGTAGGGGGCGGCAGGAGGAACCAAATCACACAGTGGGGGACATGCTATCTGACACACCCAGAAGTGTCGGATAACCGTGGTTACCGTTGAACGTTTATTCTGTTCTTACTACTGCCAGCTAGCTGCAGGATTAGTTTAAAGTGGCAACTAGTATTTCTATTATGATCTAAGTTTATTATCCCCAAACTAGAGTTAAAGGCCTCTTTAAAATCTTCAGAAAGGCTTTGTAGCTAGCTTTGTGGATACTTGCTGTGCACACTGTTTATATACTGTATGATATAATATATTTATATATAATATAAGCTGGAGCCTGTGTGTACAAGGTCTAAAGGAAGGTATTGATGACACATAGGGCATTTTAAATAAATTAAGGGTTTATTTATTACACAAAAGACCCTTTTAACCATCCTGCGTCTGCTAAAAAAGAGCGTAAAGACAACATGTCACCAGCACACCGGAGATATGTGTCCAAACAAATGTTTTTTTATTAATGCATATTGTCACAAGGATGGCAACATTTCGGGGCTATGCAGTGTCCCTTCATCAGGCTCAGTGTGACCTATTGGACTTGCTAAAAAAAACAGCCTTTTGCTTTCCTCATCATTGTATCTGTTTTTTTACAGAAGGAAAAAAAAATGAAAGAAACAGTACACAAAAAGAGAAAATAATTTACAAATAAACAGAAAAAAAGCACACATACAAAGAAATAAACGTAATAACAATAAACTAGATGAAATAAACTTTATTACCTTAAATACGAAAAAAAACCTCACATGTGCTCAATAAAGGAAAAACTAAATTGAGGAGTTCTCCTTTAAAGAAAATTTGTCCAACAGCAAAATCAGTCATTTTGTAGTAAAATCAATTTGACCAAAACTCCTCTGCTTACCACTAATCATTACAAGCAGGAAGGAATTGAATTATCCTTATTCTGGTTAAAATCATATGAGTTTTTTTAAACAGACTTAAAAGTGAACAATGCAGGTTTGTTTTGTTTTTTTATTTTACTGATGGGGATATTCAGGATGCACAGATGTGTAACCTTTACTACTGTCTGAAATACTTATCAAACTGTAAAATGTTAAAAAAGCAAAGAAACTCATTAGTTTTTAGTGTGCAGATTTTTTAGTCTAGGCATTTTACATTCTATAACCAAAAAAAATGTGACCATGCGTGTTGCTTTGTCCTTCCAGCACCTGTACACTGGAGCCTGGGAAACTGACAAGAGAACCATCCATGTCATGCCAGACACACCAGAGATCCTGCTGGCAAAGGCTAACTCCATCAATATTAGTAATGTAAGTATGCCATTTTTGTTGTCAGGGATTGTTTACTATGAAAAATAGTGTAACTGAACTCATACATTCTTTTTTGTACCACCAGAAAATATATACCCAAGGATGGGACGAGGCCAAGACAAAAGGATATGACTTAAGAGCTGATGCCATTTCCATCAAGAGTGCCAGAGCTTCCAGGGACATTGCCAGCGATGTGAGTATAGAGCATGGACAATAGTCACACTAGCATAAAATAGTGAAGCAAAAAAAAAAGACTTGATCATGCAACTTAAATGACCACCACTATTATAAAAAAGTACAATATCTCCACCTGCATTCTCCAAAATCAATTTGGTAGAAGTTTGTGGTCATTTGTAAACATCGCCCTACCTACCCTCATTATCCCTTCATTTTTTTCATCCCTTAACCAAGACTCTTCTCTACAGTGCTGCTAGAGCTGGCTTTTGGAGTGCTGCGTCTGGACCCCACTGCCCTGTTTTTGAAGACTCGCTTTGTGAGTAAGCCAGTGAGGTCCAGCCCCGAGAAGTACCTCAAGCACATAGGTCGCTGGATGCCTTTAAAAATTCCCCATTTAGGAAAGGTTTGCAAGCACAGGGGGTTACCACTGTGGGACTGAGTGCTCATGTCATCTGCTGGGTGGAGTGCCGCAAGTGCTCACTCCATGCTTTCTTTCCCGCCATACAGTGTCGAGGAAGCATCTCCCTGCTGCTGCTTACAAAGAGATGTGGAACATGCAACTTCAGTCTGTGATCTATTGCTGCTGTCTTCCTACAGTGACTTTGGTCACCTGCAGCCATCTGTCCCTCACCTGCTACCAGCTGTCTGGGTTTTGTGAATACCTGAGGCCTTGCTTCATACCCTAAACCTTAAATTGCTTTACTGCCAAACGGTGGCAATATGTCTGATTCTAGAAATGGGGGGACAGTCCCATTGTTCCAGGTGCCTGCCAGCTAACACTCTACTAACAGCTTTGGGGCTTCTTGCAGTTTACCTCCTGATGATGCTGAGATCTGCTGTATGGAATCCTGTTGTCCTCTGCTCCTCTTTAGCTTCATGTGGTGTGGCCAGTTCCTCTGCCCTTTTGGATGAGGTTTTTACTACAGGCATCCAAGACTTTATGGCCCAAATCACCTAGTTATTTGCTGACTTTGACCACAGAGACCACAAGCACACAACCGTGCCTTCTCCAGCAGATTCTGCATCTTTGCCTGAAGAGCTTGCTCCCCTGGAATTACAGTCCACTGCTATTACTTTTACTTTAAAAGAGACCACTTGAGTGAACAGTTAGCACGTTCTCTGTTGGACAACCTGGATTTGACTATTCAGATGTTACAGCAGTTTGGATGGATCTTGAACTTTTAAAAATTATCACTAGAACTGACATTTTGAGTGTCTGGGTCTAGTTCTGAAGTCATAAATCCTGTAGCACTCCTTACCGGAAATCCCCCCAAAATTTAAATGGGTGCTTGAAATGACAGCGGATGACGCCACACAAAACAGCTTAGAATGTAGATGTCACCAGCACACCAGCACGACAGAAGCTCATAAGTCAGTGCAAATCCATTTATTGATAGATGTCACTCAGAATAACAAGCGCTTTCGGGGCCACGCAGGGTCCCCTTTATCAGGCTCAGAGTAGACGAGTCTGATGAAGGGGACCCTGTGCGGCCCCGAAAGCGCTTGTTATTCTGGGTGACATCTATCAATAAATGGATTTGCACTGACTTATGAGCTTCTGTCGTGCTGGTGTGCTCATGTAATCTGCATTCTAAGCTGGGTCTAGTTCTGGATGCAGCTCAGGCCAGAGTGTTTCTTCCACAGTAGATCTTAGATTTGAGCTTTCCAGTCCAGGAGTCATCTGACTATTTGCTTTTGCATGAGAGTCTTGCAGACTGATGGTATCCTCCTTCAAAGCAGTCCAATTTGCCCAATTTTACTCCACACCTCTACAACTCAACATTCTGTCAATATGAGACAAGTTAGTCGAATCCCTGGACAGACAGATTAATTTGGCACCAAGGACTAGGTTATTCCTGGCCTGGCAGCTCAAGAATCTGGCTCTGGAATAGGGGAACTCATTCTTTCCTGTTTTCTGGAAAATCTTTAGGACAGATGCCAACCTGTTGGTGCTGGGCTGTGTCCTAAGGACCCATCAGTGCAGAGGACTTGATTGCAGAGAAGGCTCCTCTGCTGATAAACATTCTGGAACTTTGGATGAGCATCCTGGAAAGTCATCTGATCTGAATTCAGTCAGAAAATGTAATGGTGGTTGCATACATCAACCATCAGGGTGCAACCAAAAATGCAAGAGAGGAAAATTGGATCTCGTGGAAAGTTTACTTTCCCAGCTTGAGCACCATAAATATCCCAGGCAATTGGCAGGCAGACTTCCTCAGCTGGCAGCTCCTGGACCTAGGGGAGTAGGTCCATACACCAGCAGGTGTTCCAGGACCTATGTCACAGGTAGGAGGCACTGGAAATGGAACTCCTGACCTCCAGGTTCAACACCAAACTGGACAGGTCTATCTCCAGGTACAGATATCCACTAGCAGAGAAGTGGATGTTCTGGTGGCTCCATGGGACCTGTATACCCTGAGCCAGGCCTTTCTTCCCCTAAAGCTGCTTCCTCATCTGCTTTGCAGAATTCAGATGGAGGGGATTCTGGTAGTCCTCATTGCTTTGGACTGGCCAAGGTAGATGTGGTATGCTGACTCGGTAAGACTCCTGTTGGATGCTCAGTGGGCTCTGCCAGATCATCAGGACCTTCTATTTCAGGGACAGATTAGTCATGTTGCTTCATGGTTGCTGGCTTTAATGGAATGGCTGTAAAATCACAAGTTTTGAGAGACAGGGGTGTCTCTGAATCTATTATTTCTCTGATGCTAATTGCTGGGAAGGCTCAGTTCACTTGGTGCAAGTCTCGGGGGTTTCCACTCTTCCTCTGTAGAATGAATCCTCACTGTCCTGCAGATGGGTCTGGGCCACTGCTTCCAGCACTATTAAAGGTCAGGTTTCAGCTCTTTCTATCTTGTTTCAGGGACCAGTGGCCGCAGTTTGAACTCTCTCTCTACTCTCATTCACAAGGTGGTATTCCTTCACCTTTGTGATGTGAGTGTCTGAATTGGCTGCCTTATCCTACAAGAACCATTTTGGGTTTTGTAGAGAGACAGGGTGGTATTGAGGACCAGGACTTCCTTCTTGCCTAAGGTAGTTTCTGGCCTTCACGTTAGCTAGGATGTATTTTTTCTGTCCCTCTGTCCGGCTCCAGTTCACTGAAAAGGAAATTTCCCTCCATTGTCTGGATGTGGTTCAGGCTGTTAGAATCTATCACTCAGACACTGCTTCTTTTAGAAAGACTGTTTCCTTTTTTGTCATCCTAGATGTTCCCCATAAGTAAGCTTCTCATTCCACAGACCATCATTCAAGCTTATGGTCTCAAAGATCAGATTTCACCCCTTCCCCTGCAAGGCATACTCTCCTAGATCTGTGATCTACTTGGGCTTTTTTGGCATCAAGCAAATGTTTCCCAGATATGTAGGGCTGCCAACTTTTTAGCTTAGCTGCATTCACACATGAGCATGAGAGTTTAGTGGCAATTGTGGACCATTTGTAATTGTATGTTATTTTCAGGCGTATTCAGACTTCAGCATTTTTGTTTTAGTCAGTGAAAATCTAGGTACTAGAAGAAGGAGATGGCTGTTTAGCCATCACTTATTTTCAGGCGTTTTCATGCATTTTTTAGGTGCTTCCACTGAAGTTTATGGGGCCAAAAACATCCCATTCTGCTTCAGAGGTAGCTCAGGCACCTTTTTGAGACTCAAACATCAAGCTAAATATGTCTGCATGCTCATATCTGAACAGGCACAACTTAAAAGCATGGGATTTTGGTTGTTGAGTGTTTTTGAGCTTTGAGCTTCAAGCTACAATACCTCAGGTGTACTCAGGTGTGCTCAGGTGTGAAGCAGGGCACCTAATTATCCCCAGTGATGCATATCAAAATGTGTTATTATGGAGAGTATGAAGACTGGCAGTACAAGTTTGGTCATCTGATTTATAGACTAAAAGCAATGTTAAAAAAACTGCAGTTTATAAAAATACAAACAGACTTTCAACAGAAAATCCGTCTTTGATGCAATCAAAAGGGAACACAAACATAATGAGAAACATTAGACTGTTAAAACATATACTGTAGTTTATGGCATTGTTTTAATAAAATGTTAATCATAGGCAAATAGCAATCTAACAATGACACTGCAGATTTAAAGATCATTGAAATAAGCTTGAATTTGGCTTGCATAAACTTTATACAGTATATGCATACAGTACAGTAGTATGCATGTATATCTATATATCTATATAGATATACATATATATATATTTATACATTTATAGTGAAGACTTGTAATCCAGCCTGATATTGATGACTCTGTAATTCTCTTTTCTAGTATAAATACAAAACCGGATACCGTAAGCAGCAAGGCCACCATGTTGGATACAGAAGCCTAAGGGATGATCCTAAATCGCTGTGGGCCGTGCATGTGGCCAAGATCCAGAGTGATCTGGAGTACAAGAAGGACTTTGAGAAACTAAAGACCCATTATCAATCTCCTGTGGAAATGCTGTCTGTGGTGTTGGCCAAGAACTGCCAGAAACTTGTCAGTGACATTGACTACCGCCACCACCTCCATAAATGGACATGTCTGCCAGACCAGAATGATGTCATCCAGGCCAGGAAGGCCTATGACTTGCGCAGTGATGTGAGTATTGCTTCCTGTAATCAGTTATACTTTGAAAATACTCTCAGTTTCCTAAATGTATTATTCTACGTCTGGAGCAACCTCTGCCATGGGCAGTGGAAGCATACTACTTGGGCCCAAAGTCAAGAATCCTTTGTTGTCATAAAGCCATACAGTATATGTATTTGTAATGAAGGAGATTGTAAAGCAGAGGTGCCCATTAGGTCGATCGCAATCTACCAGTCGATCGCAAAGTGATCCATGGTAAATCGCGATGTACTGTCCTCCTGCCGTTGGGCTTCTCTGGATGCCCGCTGCTCTCCCCCATCTGTATGCAGCGGAGATCCAAGGAGAAGTGAAGGAAGTGCGGTGGTGGGGGGAGCCTGAGGACGGAGCCGCTATCACAGCAGCACACCGAGCAATGAGGAGAGAGCCGTTCGGCCTGGATCTGACAGCTGGCGACTCTCTCTCTCCTCACCGCACATGCTGCTGTGACAGCGCCCCCCCCACCAGCTGAAGTGCTTACCTCACTTCTCCTGGGATGCTGTGCCCCCCCCTGTGTGTGTGTGGCCGAGTGGCAGAGGATCGGTACATATCAGTGATATGTACTAATCTTCTGTGCAGGACAAACACTGTGTTTGTAAATAACTGGGGACACATAGTACTATGTGTCCCCAGTTATGAATGAACAGGAAGTGCTTTACATCACTTCCTGTTCATTCATAAGTTTTTCAATGGGGAGTAGCACTCTGTACAGAGGCTCCTCCCCATTCAGAAACTGGATGATAGTAAATAGTTTCTGAATGAATGGTAAGCCCCTGTGCTTTCCATTCATTTAGAACAGAGGCTGCAGAAAAAGAGATTGAGGACTCTGTGTCCTCAATTTCTTTTTCTATTTTAAAAGGGAAATATCAGGGGGCTGTTTAGACCCCTAATATTTCCCCGAAGCCCCCCCAACAGTAAAAAAAAATGAAATTAAAAAAATTAAAGTTAAATAAAAAATAATAAATAAAAAATAGTAAAAAAAAAAATCCTGGAAGCAGGGCGCTGGGTGATGTCACACGCCTGTTGGGGGGGCATGGTTTTTTTCTTGCCTCGGGTGCAAAAGGATCTAGCTACGGCTATGCTCCCATGGTGCTCGTGTGGCTGCCGGCTGAATGTGTTAGACGCCACAGACGGAAAGGGGCAGGACACCTCTCCCCGTGTGCAACGTCGACCACACGAGCACCGCGGGAGGAGAGGACGCCAGCGCCTGTAGAACGCACTGGAATGCAAACCGGCCAACTCCCTCCGTTCAGGGGCAGGAGGGGGCATGGCGTTGTATTGAAGTCAATGGCACCGCAGCCATGCCCCCGCCCACAGTGCGGTCGCCTGCCTGCATTCTGGTTCATTGCAATCTGCAAAAATAGTGCTTGCAACATTTCTGCAGAACGCACTGGACCGGAACGCAGGCACTAACGTGCCTGCGTTCCGGGTGTGGGCGATCGCACTGCGGGTGAGGGGTGTGGCTGTGGTGCCATTAACTTCAACTCCCCCCCCGAATGCAGGTGTGTTTTCGTTAGTAGATCTCATTGAGCTTGTCATTTGAAAAGTAGATCTCCAAACTAAAAATTGTGGGCGCCCCTGTTGTAAAGAACTATGAGTAGGTTCATCCTCTTTTACAGTTTTTGTTTAATCTCATGAATATTATGAATATTATTATTATTAGTGAAATACACACAATGACCTTGATCTGTAGGTCAGTAGCATCAGTAAAATAGTTATATTATTGGCCGGTACAGCGGCCATGTACTGTGGTAGGGTCCTTAGAAGGATATCTAAACAGCCTTGCAGGAAAGGGAGACAGACCCATTTCTAGCACTTCCCCACATAAAGTCATCTTGTTTCCTTTTTTTTTTATAAGCTGTATTAATTATATCACAAGTGCAACACCTCCTTACCCTGGGACAGTGAATGTGGTCACCCAGGCAGCTCAGTGGGATAACATCTCGATTTCAGGTTCTGGTCCTTGGTGTTTAGTGGGCCGAACAATAAGTTATGTGTCAGGCACTTTAGTCTTTTTACCTTTTTTTTGCTTAACTCATAACTAGGAGGGAGGGTTTAGTGGTGCAAGATACCCAAAAAGAGCACACAAAAAGGACAGGTATGCTTAAGTAGTGGTAGGCCCTTTAAGAGCAGCCTCTGGGTAATCGGTCCTGCGAGAGTAGCCAGGCAGATATTTGACCCTGTAAGAGCAGTCACCATTCAGTTTTAGTGGATCTCTCTAATAAATCTGGTTCTTGACCCTTTTATTAGAGTGAAAAATACCTTGATTGGTGGGCAATGAGTCCTTCTTGCAATGTCCATACAGTAGCTTCTACCTAGTTCCTTTGTGACTATCCAGAGCAAAGAAGATTCCTACAGATGCTCCCTTCATGCAGCCATCTTCCTGCCCAGTTCCCCCCTGATAAAATCCTCCAATAGGACCTTCAGCACATGCCCCAGGCCGATGCAAGGCCCATGTAGAGATCATTTGGTTACATACCCTCTCCAGGCAGAAGCCCAGGAGGTACTCTAGAAAAGTGCCCCAAATATTTATCATCTTCTCAAACCATACCTCTGTTCAAGCTCCTTAGGGATTGGTTGGGTCATATACATATTCATAACTTAGTCAGAAGCAATCTTCCCACTAACTTTAGGAAAACTCTACAGAACCTAACAAAAAGTAAACAAGAGCTCAGGCTGGTTACAGAGTAGCAATAAAACACTACATTCAGTTAGGGACACAAAAACATAGGTCAGAGTCTCTACACAAGTAATGACTATTATTGGCATTTTGATTATCGGTACATGAACCAGCATCATAGAATAATCTGCATGTAGCTGCCATTAAAGTTGCTCTATAGTGGTTGTCACTTCATCTTGTTCACTATTGGGAGTTGTTTTCTGTTTCTTTTCTCTTTCCCTAGTCCCCCTTTCCCCTTCTCCCTTTGTTTGTCTTGTCTCTTTCACTCTGCTTTCTTCTCTTTTCTTCTTCCTCTTTTCCTCTCCCCCTTTTCCTTTTGACCTTCCTGGGTTCTGATTTCCATTCCTCAGTTACTTGTGTGTTCTCTTGAAATGCGGATGCCATTTCACTCATCTTGTAAAGCTTTTCATTTGTTGTGCATTATGGTTCTTCACTTATGATTTTTTTTCTACACGCTATGCTATGCCTGTGCACACTTGTTGGTTGTTATTACTACTTCTATTTGGCATCTTTCTTTAATAAAATGTATATGTTAAAAAGAAAAAGTTGCTCTATATTTCTAATAGTTGTCTTTTAGAATGCAGGCCATGAATGGACCAGAGTATGGCACAGCAACTACTAATATGTAATTATAATAAAGCTGAACTCCAGGCAAGGCACTAAATACACAGTTTATCTATGGGATCTGTTTCCTTGCCAAACAATTTGTAATTTTGTCCATCAAGCCCTGAGATATAGCACAGTCAGGCTGGTGACCTAACTCTTTTCTACTGCAGTTATGCAATACAGCTTACTCACCTTCTTGCCCCATCCTGTTACTAGACACTGAAGGAGCAGCAGCAGACTGATGAATTCATCTTCCTGCTCTCTTCTTCTGTTAACAAACTTTCATATTTGCCATGCGTGCAGCTTTAGGTTCAAATGGGATATTATTTACAGATTTTTAAGGTGATCATTATTTAGGATTCGTTTGAAGAGATTCATATTTAGGAATATATTTGGGAGTTAGAGAGGCTTTTGGGCATTGTTCATTGTATATTTCGTATTGCTTATCGTAGCTTATTTCTATTTTTAGTGGCTATACAAATCTGACTTGGAATGGATCCGTGGTTGTGGATGGATTCCTAATGATTCTTTGGAAGTGAACAAAGTGAAGAAAGCTCAGGAAATCATAAGTGAACGTCGTTATCGCCAGCCTCCCGACACCATCAAATTCACCAGCATTGTTGACTCTCCAGAAGTGGTTTTGGCCAAGAGTAACGCCCTGCAGCTCAGCAGTGTAAGATCTCCTATTATCCAAAGCTTTTTTTTTTTCATAATTTATCATAATACTCCAAATCCTAACTCCCTTTTTCTATCTTATAACTAGAGCATTTACCAAGATGCTTGGAACAAGGCGAAGACCCAGTTCCATTTACCTGCTGACACCCCACAGATGGTACAGTCCAAGATTAATGCCGTCAACATTAGCAATGTAAGTACGCTATGCTGATTGCACACTTCTCAGATCTCTTAGTCCATGGACATTTGTAATTCATTCTTTGATTCTGCTTCTCATCTCTCCAACCAACTGTAAATAGGAAGATTTAAAATGTTTTTCTATGTAGTGTAGTTAAGATACAACTGTTACAGAACCCATAATGTCAGGGGGCCCAAATATAATTTTTCCTTCACATTCTTTTTTTATTATCTGTTAAAATGTCAGGACAAAAAGAAGAAACAGCACATCCCTGCAATACGTGCACATTTACTCATGTTTTATTGCTTTAAAGACACTTTGAATACAGAAAAATACATTTTGATCAGCCAGAAATGCACTCAGCTACTGATTTCCTATTGTGGTCTGACAACGCACCACATTTTTTGTGGACTAAATGGTGTCAGCCCTGCCTAATTATTTTTTTTCCCTAAGCAACTCAATTCTTCCCACTCTCCTCATCTCTACTACATAGACACTAATTATTATGTGGTCCAAGATAAAGACTAGGAAGGCTAACCAAAGTATTTGGGATAACACAGGAAGTAAGCACTGATCACAGGACAGCTCTGATTTTCTGATAACATCAATGGGTAACAAAAAAGGCTTCCAGTGGCATGTTTAACAGACCAAAAGATAGCAAAGAAGAAAAGTTAATTGTTAGGCTTCATTCACACACAATGCAAGAGCAAAATTGTATATTGCGTATATACGCGTACATGCGTGTATGTACGCGCGTATACGCATATACGCACGTATATGCGTGCACTATATGCAATCCCAGAATGCATCATTCGTAATAGAAATTTTAATGAACTTTACGCACGTACGTGCGTATACACACACAAACAAATAAGCAGAAATACGCTGCCCGGACGCATCTCGGTTCCATTCTGTTTTTGCCCATTTTTGCGCTACGCAAATATGCGGCTCTACACGCAGCTATGTGTATGGAGCCATTTATTTTCATATGCTGCATATGGTACAATACGCGCGTACATGCACGGCAGTGTGAATGAGGCCTTAGGGTTTACATACCATTTACCCCTTTCACTGCCTTCCAAATTTTTATTTTTATTTTTTTGCCCGTTTTTTCCTTGACACATCAATGGCAGTCTAAGGGCTCGTTCACACCAGTTGCAGTGTGTTCCGGCCCGATTCCGTCCAGAACGCACTGCCACGCATTGTGGCAGGCTCACTTTTTAGTGGGGTAAGAGGGGGCGTGGTGGGCCATTGAAGTGAATGGCACTGTAGCCACGCCCACCGGCCGCAATGCGATCAACCGCACGGGATCGCAAGGCACATTACGCCTGCGGTCCAGTGCGATCGAAATAGTGCTTGCAGCATTTTGATCACACCAGACCAGACTGGACCGCAGGCATAATGTGTCTTGCAATCCCTTGCAGCCGATCTCATTGCGGCCGGAGGCCCCCTCCTGCCCCACTAAAAAGTGAGCCAGCCGCAATGCGAGGCAGTGCGTTCTGGCCAGAATCGGGCCGGAATGCGCTGCAGCTGGTGTGAATGGGCCCTAAGGGTTGAAGTGTATCGAAAGGCAAGGTAGAGTGGCAAAGAGTTAGAATACCTGTTAGGTTTTTACTGCTCTCTGTGTTCCTGTTTGGGGCATTCCTCTCTGTTTGCCCAAATGACCATTGTCACTAAGATTGAAAGTGAGGAAAAATGTTAAATTTTAAGTTGCCACCAGAATACAAGAATGGGAATCTTCCCTTAGATTAACTTGTTTTGGTAACAGCATTGTGAGATTTACTTATCTAACCTTGTAGAGGAGATCTCTTGAAGGGGACACAAATTGAAGAAAATAAACTTGACAGAGGTTTTAACCCTACCCTACTCTATTTAAATAAAAAAGGGATTTTGCCTTCAGGTATATTTTAAGCATCCAATAGACTTGTGAAGAAAATATTATTTAAGTAGTTAACTTAAATTTTCAGTTTTTAAACAAACATGCTTACCTTATATAAAAATGTAATGGTTTAATATAAGTAAGAACTGGGTCAAGGGGTCCTTGTTCAGATTTTCACTTTTTCGCTGTAGGCAAACATCTGCAAATGAACCAATTTTTTTTTTTGGGAAGCGTAAGGAATTTCTTGATGGAGCTGTTGTGATGCAGCTCTAGGCTCTATATTTTTGCTAATGATTTAGGTCCTCATCTGGAGGTGGAGGACATGTTATTAAAAAACCTGCAATGCATGAACCTGTTAATATCATTATATTTGAAAAGCTAAAACGAAACAACTTTTTATGGTTACAGAAACAATACCAGCAGGGGTGGGAAGATGCCAAGACGAAGGGCTACGATATAAGAGCAGACTCTATTCCAATCAAGGCTGCCAGAGCATCAAGAGACATTGCTAGTGATGTGAGTTTTAACAGGAGAATTTAGTCATCTATGGTAAACTTTGCAATGTGATGAATACAAGTAATAGACGATTGTTATTTTTCTATTACTTTAGTATAAATACAAGATAGGATACCGTAAGCAGCAAGGACATCATGTTGGATTCAGAAGCCTGCAGGATGATCCTAAGTCGCTGTGGGCCGTGCATGTGGCCAAGATCCAGAGCGATCTGGAGTACAAGAAGGACTTTGAGAAACAAAAGACCCATTATCAATCTCCTGTGGAAATGCTGTCGGTGGTGTTGGCCAAGAACTGCCAGAAACTTGTCAGTGACATTGACTACCGCCACCACCTCCATAAATGGACATGTCTGCCAGACCAGAATGATGTCATCCAAGCCAAGAAAGCTTATTTGCTTCAAAGTGATGTAAGTTAATATTTCTGTCCCTCTTTTTTCCACAACTTAATGAAATGCGGTAGCAATTAGTTTCAGTGTTTAGTACATATCAAATCTTTTTTTAGGGTAAACTATAATACAGTATGCTCAGTTTAAATAAATAGCATCATTATAACAGATGTATGCAACTAGAACATCTCAAATTGTTTCATATAACTACCCATAAGATTCTGTTGGGTAGGCTAGTACAGTATTGCTGGACTGCAATCACTGATGAATTTCTTGGATATAATCCATAGTTGGTGTCATATGTTCACAGTGTTTCCATGATTTCCATTCCTCAGTTACTTGTGTGTTCTCTTGAAATGCGGATGCCATTTCACTCATCTTGTAAAGCTTTTCATTTGTTGTGCATTATGGTTCTTTACTTATGATTCTTTTCTACACACTATGCTATGCCTGTGCACACTTGTTGGTTGTTATTACTACTTCTATTTGGCATCTTTCTTTAATGTATTTGTTAAAAAGAAAAAGTTGCTCTATACTTTTAATAGTTGTTTTTCTATACATAGAATGCAGGCCATGTATGGACCAGAGTATGGCACTAGCAACTACTAGTGTGTAATTATATTAAAGCTGAACTCCAGGCAAGCCACTAAATACACAGTTTAATATATGGGATGGGAACTGTTTCCTTGACAAACAATTTTGGCCTTCAAGTCCTGAGATTTACACAGCCCTGTCATATAGCACAGGCAGGCGGGTGACCTAACTCTTTTCTACTGCAGTTATGCGATACAGCTTAGTCACCTTCCTGCCCCATCCTGTTACTAGACACTGAGGGAGCAGCAGCAGACTGATTAATTCATCTTCCTGCTCTCTTCTTCTGTCAACAAACTTTCATATTTGCCATGAGTGCAGCTTTAAGCTCAAATGGAAGATTATTTACAGATTTTTTAAGGTGATCATTATGTAAGATTCGGTTGTATGAATTCATATTTAGGAATATATTTGGGAGTTAGAGAGGCTTTTGAGCATTGCTCATTGTAGATTTATTTTTGCTTATCATAATTTATTTTTACTTTTAGTGGCTTTACAAATCTGACATGGAATGGATCCGTGGTTGTGGCTGGATTCCTGATGGCTCTCTGGAGGTGAACAAAGTGAAAAAAGCTCAGGAAATCATAAGCGAGCGTCACTATCGCCAGCCTCCCAACATCCACAAGTTCACCAGCATTGTCGATGCTCCAGGTCTTCTCCTTGCCAAAACCAATGCTCTCCAGATTAGTGATGTAAGTATGTTGTTAGGAAAAAATTAACAAAATCCATTAGGTTCAACCTAGATTTATAGTCTAATACTGCTTATCTAGATGTTTTTGTTGTGACAGATTTAAAAATGCCACATTAAAGACAGGAAATGCTTTCGTTCTGTTATGACTGTTTAGCTGCATACTGCTTTATCCAGCAGCTTTAGTATTCTCATCCTTGTAGTATTATTGTAGTATTACAGTATTTGTTTTTGAACCCAAAATGATTATTTTTGTCTGTCCTTCCCACACCCACACAAGTGGGTGTACAGAGATGCATGGGATCGTGCAAAGACAAAATTCAGCCTCCCAGCAGACACTCCACAGATGGTACAGTCCAAGGTCAACGCTGCCAACATCAGCGAAGTAAGTCCATTTAGAGATGCCTAAAAACGGGAAGCTCATGTAACCTTACTTGTTTTTGCCTCATAGGAAATTTGTCACTAAAGTTGTTATTTTTCTGCTTTATTGTCTTCCTCAACATCAATTTGCATTACCAAAAAAACTACAAGTGATTCACAAGGTTGAAATAAATACAATCTCAAAAAAATATTTTAGAATATCCAGGTTAATCAGGCAATTTTGTAAATATGACCTTTTTCTTTCCTATCTACTGCTATCTCCTGGTTGTGACAATGATATTTCCCAGTATCATTTTTAATTATAATTTATAAGTATAACCAGTATAATTTTCTGGTTATTGTAACACTTGCTGGTGAATATTGTAATTCTGTCTAGAAAGTCTTTAAATTATTATAAAAAACAGCCTACCCACTAGCTGTGCCAATGCAAATGTTCTGACTGTTACAAGCTATCTGTAGACATAGTACTGACAGTACAATTAAATGCCTTTAATGTGTCTGCATGACCTTAGGTCCTGGTAGTCCTATCTCTTCACTTCCTCTTTTAAGAAATGTGCTCATGTTTGCTTGTACATACAGGTCCCTAACGTCTTCTGCAAAGTCCTGGGCTATATAATAATGAGGATTTGAGGGGTAAAAACCTGTGCAAATAGAAGTTATAATATATCTGTAGCCAAAACTTTTTCTTTATATTGGAAAGAAAAACAGAAAGTTAGAATTCCCGTCAGTTTTCTTGTTTTGTAAAATAAAATGTTTTTAGTTTTAGGTACACTTTAAACAAGGTTACTTTTTTAATTGCGCCTATATATTCTATTTTTCTCTTTTTTACTAATGAATTTGGATCAGAAAATATTATATTTAGCTGTCATTAAATGTTTATTTATCATTTACTTGCTCCTCAATTTAAAATCAATTTAAAATAGGTAGTGAGCGTTAAATAATGTTTTTCTTTGCATGTGACAGAAACTCTACACGAAAGATTGGGATGCAGCCAAGAAGGGTTGCGACTTAAGAGCTGATGCCATCTCCATTCGTAGCGCCCGTGCTTCAAGAGACATTGCCAGTGACGTAAGACTCATTCTCACATTTGCTCAAACAATGTTTTTTGCCAGTGTCAATGTTAACATAATAGATATACCAAGGTTTCAACACAGATACTGTATACGGAAAATTAAAAGTATCCAATAGAAAAACAAGTCAGATGTAACACTAAATAAAAGGTAACAAAAGTATAACATCAAATTCACACCTTTAAAGTTGGTTGTACTGCTTAATAAAACCAAGTACTAAATTGGCATGGGCTTATTTACACTTAAGTGCAATCCATTCTGCAAAGGAGATTTCCAAGAAAAATGGGAAAGATCAGTTTGATTGGAGCCCATTCATATTTTAACTAGTAGGTTTCCCACCTTTCACAGATCCCCATGTCAACAACAGAAGGACTCTCATCCTTTCTGCTGTTTACACTACCTTCCTACCTGGTGTCCAACCAGTGTAATACATTGTTTCGTATTTAAAAGCACAATATGCTGTGATTTGCTATACTAGATTGTACCAACAGGTGTCACACCACTAAAATTTACCACTGCATCTCACTGTTCCAAAATGAGCCAAGACCTGTGGATTATATACCGTGTTTCCCCCGAAAATAAGACACTGTCTTATATTTTTTTGCCTCAAAAAAACACACTAGGTCTTATTTTCGGTGTAGGTCTTATTTTTTTTTTAATGTTCAACAATCCAAAATTAATGCAAATCGAAATTAAATAATCCAAAATGGCAAAGTTAAGAATAGGGTGATCAGGGCAATCATGGGGTGCCCTACCTTTCCAAGAGCAATTTGGTAACCAATCGCTGGCCAGAATGAGGGAAGCGCACTTTCACTATCATTCCTCACAGGCGGAGAACATTTGTTCTCACTCCCCTTGTGACAGGAGGCGGCGCTATAGAGGAAGCATAGGCTTATGTGGCTCTGTTCACTCTGCTGCCGCCTCACTTCCTCTAGCGCTGGCTTCGTTGGCACCGCTGATTCTCTTCTGCGGCTCTTCAAGTTCCCCCTTATGCAACCACCGGCCCTGGGAAAGGTCACAACTAGGTCTTATTTATGGGGTAGGTCTTATATTATAACAAATCCCAAAAATAGTACTAGGTCTTATTATTGGGGTAGGTCTTATTTTCGGGGAAACAGGGTATGTATACTTTTTCGGTTAGTGTAACACTTACTAAAGTTACCAGTGAATATTGTCATTTTGTCTAGTAAGTATTTAAAAGAGAACTATGGGGTAACCTTTTTATCCCATAGTTTTCTTTAGGGTCACAAGAGGAGGTTAGTATATGTCCTCCTGTGACCCAAAGCTCGGTATATAGCCCGCTATTGCCCACGATATACTGAGAGCGCCGCAGCCGGGACGGATCCCGACAATTCTGTTGAGATCCACCCAGTTGGCTGATTGACAGCAGACTCTGCCTATCTAGAGGCAGAGCCAGCTGTGCTCGCCCCCTCCCCCATCCGTTCCTCCAGTCAGCACTGGAGGATCGGAGAGGGGCAATCCCTGCTGGGAGCGGTGACTGACCGCTCTCTGCAGGGAGATGATCGGGAAGTGAGCGTGCAGCAGTATGTGCTCGCTTACTTTCCGGTCAATAGAGCTGACGTGTGACAGTTTAAATGTCACACGTCTGCTTTAACGATGAGGATGAGTGTAAATCACTCACCTCATAGTTCTCCTTTAAACTATTATAAAAACCAGTCTACACATGACAGACTTATGTATGAGCACTCCTAGCACCAACTCTGAATTAGTCTTTTTACTGACTGCAGTAAACATTTGCATGATTTGTTGAGTTAGCCCAAACAATTTGTCAAAGTGATATTAATGAAATACATTTATTTTGTTTAGTTCAAATACAAGACTGCATATGAGAAGCAGAAAGGTCACTACATTGGGGCCCCGACTGCCAAGGATGATCCTAAACTGATGTTGTTGATCAAAGCTGGTAAACTCCCAAGCGACTTGATCTACAAAAAAGATTATGAAAAGACCAAGACCAAGGTTCACCTGCCAGCGGATGCGGTGTCTATCCTAACTGCCAAGCAAGTCCAGGCAGCTGCCAGTGAAATCGATTACCGGCATTACCTGCACCAATGGACCTGTCACCCCGATCAGCATGATTGTATTCGAGCTAGGAAAGCCTATGATTTGCAGAGTGATGTGAGTACATGAATTGCTATCTAAATTGCGGCAGGTTATCAATACTGTAAGTTGCTCAAAAGACCTACAGGAGCTAATTAAGTTTCTTAAACAACCAATTTTACTGGTGTACAGGGCTGCCGTCAGGGGGGTACCGCCGATACACATGTAAGGGGCCCGGCCAACCTTTGGGGCCCGTGAACCTTGCATGTGTATCGGCAGATGACCATACAGGTGCCTGGTGGGGGGTGGAGTCAGCCAGGCCCCCGCAGCACCGGAGGAAGCCGGGGCCCGCACACTTCATATTATCACCTGAGGTGCTCTGTGCGGGCCTCCGGTGTCCTCAGGGGGTCTCTACTGCACATTAGGTTAAACCTGGCAAGTGCCCACATTACATTTAATATATTCCCGAACTGGCAATATATTAAATGAAAATCATTCCCTGGTGGTCCAGAGGGGAATCAGTTTGAGCTGCATCTCTTGCTGATGCAGATCATACTGATCGCTCCCTCGTGGTGCCGCCGCTGATTTAGCATGGATCGATTAGTATGGTCTGCACCAGTGCACCAGCCAGAGTGCAGAGCACACTGACCCTTCACTCGACCACCAGACCAGGATAATCCCCAAGTGCCACACTGGACCCAGGAGATGCAGCCCCCCTTCCTGCAAAACAGGTAAGCAGGAGAGTGGGACATTTTTGAATTAACTATTTTTACTTTTAATAGTTGTGAGAGTGTGTGTTTTTTTTAAAAATGAAGCTGTGTGTGTTTTTTTTAAATGAGTGTGTGATATGTGTGTTTTTTTAACCACTTCCCGCGGGTTGGCGTAAATGTACGTCCTCCGCTGGAAGTGGTTATACCAAAAACATGGCTGCTCCTGCAGCCGTGTTCTTGGTACCGTTTTAGGGCCTGTTCACACCACTGGCATCTCATTGCGGCTGGCTCACTTTTTTGCCGGGCAGGAGGGGGTGTAGTGGGCCAATGAAGTAAATGGCGCCGTAGCCACCGCCTCCGGCCGCAATGCGTTCGCCCGCACGGGATCGCAGGGCACATTGTGCCTGCGATCTGGTGTGGTCAAAATGCTGCAAGCACTATTTTGAACGCACTGCAGGTACAATGTGCCTTGCGATGCCGTGCGGGCGAACGCATTGCAGCCGGAGGGTGTGGCTACGGCACCATTCACTTCAATGGCCCACTCCAGCCTGGCAAAAAAGTGAGCCAGCCGCAATGCGGGCAGTGCGTTTCGTTTCGGAAAAATTAGTTTTCTGGACGAAATTCGTTAGCGGTAGTCTGTACGCATTTTCGTTTGTGGACGAATTTTCATTGCAGCAAAGTGACAGTTAAAAAAAAAAGATTAATGTCACTTTGCTGCAGTGAAATACGATACAATGCAATGAACGATACGAACATGGAACGGAAATGAACATTCGTACAGACTACCGCTAACGAATTTCGTCCAAATCCCGAAAAACTAAATAACACAAAATCCGAATCAAAACAAGATGAGACTAAACAATTTTTTTCCCGGTGCACATATCTAGTGGCCAGCACGTCACAAAGCCCTGTGTCCAGCGGGTAATGTGACTGTGGGGGGGACATTAGAGTGTAAGCATTTCGGCTCCAAGCTGCAAGCTTAAGTGATGTCATTGGCTCAGTGTTCTCTGTACAGCACTGCAGTATATATATATCAGCTATATAAATGTATAATAATAACAGTGTGACTGGCTCAGAGCGGCGGCGGTGCGGAAGGAGGTTGTGACCAGGCGGGTGGGGAGGGGGGGGGGGATGTGGTCCCGGCCTGAAGCCGTGTAAGGGGCCCCGAAATTGAAGGCTGCCCTGCTGGTGTATAAAACAATATTCCAGTAAATGTCCTTTCCCACAATCAAATTACATTTATAATCAGTAAACCAATCAAACCATCTACATCAGATTTAAATAGAACTATGTTGCACATAAAAACTATGTGCTACATTATTGAATTCTAAGTGCATCTGCACTTTTTCCTTAGTCCCCCTGCAAAGTCTCACCAATACCTGGTAAGTCAACCTAATGCAGCTTTCCATGACACAGTGACAACGCTACTGCGCTGCACCTAAATTCAGAGCAACACCCTCATGTAGTCTGTGTCTGCTTATACTACAGTGTGGTAAGAAGATTTTGCAAGGGACATGGCTAACAGTATTATCACTGCTGATTCACAACTCTGTAGCATGTCCACACAAAGTCTGGCCCACTGCTTTCTAGATATACAGCACTGCCTCTGCTGCTGAAACCCTCCCACTGTGAGTAGCAGTGTCTGAGAGGGGTAGTGTGTGTGAGACACACATGAAGGAGCAGTGGGCTTAGTCAGAGGAGGTAATGTAAATTGTTTTCATCTTTATGAACTTGTGCATACATAATAACTGGATCTGGGACATGTTTAGGCTGTCACACAGGAGCCCTGAGATGTCATTTAGGGGGATTTGTTAAAACATAAAATACCTGTTCAGAAACCGGTCACAATGACAGTTATGACTTACAGACTATTCTCAAAGCTGCTATTCACTTTCTGGCACGTGACATCAGTCCTTGCAACTATTATTTAGTCCGGGAGTTTGGAAGCGGCTTCCATTTGAGACTTATGAATTAGTTCTTTGTTTATGTTTTTGAAGATTCCCTTTAAAGCATTTTATATTTATATTGTTGTAATATCTTGAAAAAGGAGAAAGTTTCATGTTTCACTATTACTGTTTTAATGACTTGTATATATTTTGGTGGGCCAAATACCTTTTACCTATGATACCTTATCATATGACCACAGCAATCAGGTCTAGTGTGAGAATCTTTTTCATCAACTTGTAACAGCACCCTTCATTTTTCTAGGCTATCTACAAGTCTGATCTGGAATGGATACGTGGATGTGGCTGGTTCCCTAACGGCTCAGTGGACGTGAAGAAAGTAAAGAATGCCCAGGAGATCATAAGCGAACACCATTATCGCCAGCCAGCCAGCAACTTAAAATTTACCAGCATCGTGGACCTACCGGCTGTTGTCCTGGCAAAGGCCAATGCTGACCAGATCAGTGCTGTATGTCCACCAGATAAACCCACTTTGCCTACGCTGTGATAATTCTAGAATTAAATTGTCAATTTATTGAGCTTATAATCTCAAACATTTCTTGTTTTAAAGAGCAAATACAAAGAAGCCTGGGAACAGGACAAGAGAACCATTCATATCATGCCGGACACACCTGAGATTATGTTGTCAAGAGCCAACGCCGTCAATGTCAGCAATGTAAGCAGTTTTATTATCAAAATCCAGTTTATTAACTTTTTTAAAGGTCTGTATGTGCCACAAAGTTGATTATGTTTTTCTTTTCTAGAAACTGTACAGAGAGGGCTGGGATAAAGTAAAGATGATCTATGACATGAAAGTTGATGCTATCCCCATCAAAGCAGCTAAGGCCTCTAGAGAGATTGCAAGTGATGTGAGTATTCCAGATTATATTTAAAGGCAATGTATAGTGTTTTGTCCTTCATGTTTTGTACATAATTTCCTTATTTCTTCTGGTCTGTGACTAAAAATGTAACATTAAGAAAAAAAAAATTCTTAATTTTTATTAATAATTTGCATTCAATTTTTTAAACATCATATGAAACTTCAGGCTCATTTTCCTGTTTTACAGACTCACTGTGATGTCCCTGGTGTTTATGGACAGCTCAAATGTACATACACTAGTGCAGGACTCAGTCCAAAGTTTAATTCAAAGCGAAGCTAAAGGCAGGCAGCTACTGCCATGTTATCTACTTTTAGATAACCCAAAGTACTTTAGGAATCCTTTGTAATTGAGTAATACATGTGTATTTGTAAAACAAAGAATGTGTATATATAGAAAGTAAAAAACAACAGATGTAAAGTAACAGGTTGGTTAGAAAAGGTATAAAATTAAAAGATTAAAAAAAACTTTAAAAAAAAGACCAGATTTTTTTTAACATCACCCATGGTCATTCGTCTTTTTTTCAGACTGCATTTGCAATAATGGCATGGTAGACGCAGTAACACACCAGGAATATGATATAAAGATAAATGAGGAACAAAAATGGAAAAATACAAGTGTGTTTTTTTTGTTAGAGGTGATGGTTTAGGGCTAACAAGAGGAGAAGAACCAACAGATAATAAGGCATTGGTATATAACTAGTTAAGTGCTACTCCATCAATTTGCCTAAGTGCCTAAAAATATGTAACACTTTTAAAAAATACAACACATCAAACCATACAAAATGAAAAAGTGACAAACCAACTGCTTGTGAGTTTTCCTCTCCACCAACTTTGGTTTGCCACCCACCCCACTCATCCAACCATTTTTTATGGTAAATTTAGCACATTCATGTGTTAGATGCTTAATATGTTTACTTTTATTTTAAAAATTTTTCTTAGAGCATATAAGTTTACTTTATAATCGTATTATTTAAGGATAGGGCATTGCTTCCAAGAAGATCAATGTGTTGAAGTATGTTTATTTGTCCTAGAACAGTATTCTTGATGTTTTGTTGTTACATTCCACAGTACAAATACCATTTGAACCATGAGAAGCAAAAAGGTCACTACATTGGAACAACCTCAGCTCACAATGACAACAAATTGGCCTGGTGCTTGAAGGCTTCTAAGCTTCCCAGCGACCTTTTATATAAGAAAGACTTTGAGAAGACAAAGACAAAAGTTAACCTGCCTGTAGATATGATCTCTGTTGCCGCTGCCAAGCTATGCCAGAAACTGGTCAGTGATATTGACTACCGCCATTATCTGCACCAATGGACATGCCTACCAGATCAGAACGACGTCATCCAGGCTAGGAAAGCCTATGACCTTCAAAGTGATGTAAGTTTCCAAATCCATTTCAAACCGTTTATTAAATTTGTATGCTGTGTGTCTGAATTATGGTATTTTGAAAACTAAGTTTGAATAGATATTTATTCATAGGCTTATTTCTACTACACATCGATTATGGCATTTACTATGATATAGCTTAGCAGTGCTTAGCTCACATATCAAGAAGAGTTTAAGATTTTTAGCAGATTTTGCAGAATACCACATAGAAGCCTGTTGTTACTGGCTTAGTTCAAGTGTAGTCCTACCACAAATCTCTAATTGGACAATATTTTGTTCTTAGGCGATCTACAAGTCAGATCTGGAGTGGCTCCGTGGTGTCGGATGGATGCCAAGTGGATCACACGATGTCAAGAAGGCTAAGTTTGCCCAGGACATCTTGAGCGACGTATGTTTTTTTCCTTCTTATTTGATACTTCCCATGATGTCTGTAGGAAGACATGTTCAAAATACCATCTTTCTTTCATTTGCAGCGGAAATACAAAACCAAACCTGATACTCTCAAATTTACTGCAGTCGCTGACAGAGTGGACTATGTCACTGCCAAACAAGCTGCAGACATTCGCAGTGATGTGAGTATTTCTTACAGACAATATCTCCTTTCCTCTGTAGTCAATAAGTAGTTTTGTTTTTTTGTTTAAAAGTAATTTGATGTCACTGGTGGTAATGCCATATTTTGCACGCTCTGGCCCAACGTGGCTGTCTCCTTGTTCAAAAATGGCGAATTTCTTTTTTTCTGGGTGTGGTGTTTTAATAAAGCAACTTAATGTTTTTACCGGTAGACCCCCTCTTGAACTGAGTACACTGGGGTGATTTTTGTTAGCGTGACCATGCTCATGATAACATGAGTAATCACTAACAATTAGCAACTGATATCTACACAAAGAGAACAATGGCATGTGGCATGTAGTAGCAATTAATTGCTAATGTTCCAAATTTGTGTGCTTGCTTGCTGCTATATGCAACTGCCATTGCTAGTGATTAATCAGGGGTGATTTTTGTTGCACAATTGCATTAGAAAGCATTGCCTTTGTGCACCCAGCCTTAAAGAGGAACGTTACGCATATCTTCAAAAAAACAACAAAGACACCTTTAGAAAGGTTCAGTAATGAGAATCTACACACAGACACCAGCAAATGCCTTGAAACTCTCACAGGCTGTGCTAATTATATTATCGGTGTTATCTAACTTAATTTACTCATCACAATGCTCAGTTCACTTACATAAATATTTTAGAGACTAAAAAAAATGAGTTTTTCCTAGTACAACAATATCTGTTTAGTTCTGCTGCTGTAGAGTGTTGAGTGACCATTAGAAGACCATGTTAATGTAAGTTAGATACAAGCTGAAATGTACGATGCTTGTGTTGCTAGCCAGATCTGATGATTATGATACTATCCAGCTTATAATGCTATTGCTTATGATGCTAGCTATGTCTAAAAGCTGTAGAAAATATTCTTTGGGTTTAACTGCTAAAAAAAATGTTTTACAAAGCTAAGTAATCATCTAGATCCCAATCACTTTTATTGTTTTTCCGATTACATTTATTACATTATCCTTTTCCCCAGATTAAATATCAAGAAGCATGGAACAACGCTAAGACAAAGTACACTTCTGTGACTGACTCACCACTGCTGCTAACAGCGAAAGAGGCAGCTAAGAACGTCAATGAAGTATGTATTAAACAATCGTTAAATATTCAGTTCACAATGCTTTTTTTTTAGTTGTGGACTTTGATATGTTTTGCATTTGATTTCAATAAAACGTATTTTCCAGCAAAAGCTTATCAGAAGACTGCCAATGGGGGGTTTTATAATGTGTGAACACAACTCATAGAAAATGTAGCATAGCTAAGAGTGTGATTTCATGTTTTAGTCCTTTGCTGAAGTTTAATTAAAGATCAGAAAGTATTTTAATATGCAATTCTGGCCTGCGTTTAATAAATCTGAAATGCAGAGAACAAAATACAGAATTTTTATTTATGAACCCCTGCAAGACAGCACATCATTGTCCTGGACCTCTCACTAGACTACACACTACACTGCAGTTATACTGCCTGGTCCAGGACCAGTCCCAGTGTATAGCTGGCCAATGAAGGAGATGCAATGTATTGACCTCCTGTAAGCAAGCTTGTGCAAAGCAACAGAGCCCTGATTGGCTTTGATTGTTGACACATCATCTCCTAGACTGGGTGCTGCTGTGGTAATATCAAGACAAATTAAGGTACTTATACTATTTGCATATAACATAAAATTAATTATAATGTATGGATAACTCAGTAACAAGATCTTCCTGAAGTTCAACTTTACGGTAACATTTTACAAGTACTTGCTGTAAGCTTTCAATCCTTTTTTGTGTAAGTGACTGTTTGCTATCCTTGATTAAGTTGTAATTAGGAATACTGTCTAATTATTTAAAGAAACTACAGTATTCTTTTATTTCACGTAGAATAAGTAAACTTGCGAGTAAAAATAAAAATAATTACCAAAAAATTTATCATTTTTATTTTCAACCAAATGTTGGTCATGCCCTGCACACCAGTTGCTGCCAATCCTCAGACACCCAGTTTGTAAATCAACAACAAATGTCATCTAGACTCTAGACTCCAGATACGTAAATAATGGTAGTTGCTTTCTTAATTTCTGCTGTATTTGTTAAGCTCATACTCTGTGTAGTATTACTCCGCTATTGATATATGTCCTGATCAGCCATAAACATTTATACTGTGTATCTCTGTTTTCTAGAAACTCTACAAATCAGGCTGGGAGAATATGAAAGCCACTGGGTACTTTATGCCTCATGATGCAGTTCAATTAAGTCAAGCCAAAAAGAGTGGCATTGCCCAGAGTGAGGTAATCATATCTGCAGATATATCTAGAGATCATATAGTGTTTGGATCTTAAGGATTGCTTTAGTCTTAATTTGTGTATACATGTGTGTTTCTTTCTTTATTTCTGCCCGCACAGTCAGCTTTAGAAGTTTAACAAAAATCCCTTTAACCCCTTTGTGCCTTTGACCCTCTCTGTGTATTTTTGCTCAGTCCTCTTCCAAAATAATGCAACATTTTTAGCAAAGCTCATAGTCTTTTATGTTGCTGATTCAGGCACACAGACGTCATGCACTTCCTGCAGTCACTTCTTCCTGACTGAGAGGATCCACCCACTATAATCACTTGATCACATGATAATGTTTTATAAGAGAAAAACTTGCAGTAAGTCAATCTTGTGAGCAGAAAATGACATGTCTGAGGGAAGATCTGTAAATAAAGAGTATATTAAAGGGTTCATTTTATAAAAGGTTATAAAAGTCCCACCTGGCGTTTAGCCAGACGGATGCCGTTCGCATGGCACTAGTGCCCCTAGATGGTGCTGATAAATATTGGAAATTCCTATACTTGTCAGCACCATTCAGGGGTGCTTGTGCCCTGCTATACGCCGATCTGAACTTTTAGAATGAACCCCTATGTGTTATCATTATTGTTATGATAAAAAGTCCATTTGGATTTGGATTACTTGCCAGTTTTAGAATCTCATAACAGACTGTAGATTAAAAAAAAAGAAGCAATTTCTATTAACAATAATGGACCAATTTATAACAGAGAGTGGAAACAAGTGTATTATTTGTGTGGACTGTGCACCTACAAAGGGGCTCCCTGGTATTGGATGACCTATGCATATGAGATGTAAGTCAGGCAGGTGCTGGGACCACCTCCTCCTTTCACGTTTACCTGGGTAGGTGAGAAGTGGGAAGCATTCTTCATGATGCGCCAACCATTTTCCTGTTTTGAAATATTGAGTTGGTGTTTGTATTTGATAGGTAAATGAAGGGAAGGCAGGAATTGTTTTCACATAGCGGCCCTTTGCTGGCTATGCCCACCATTGACACCATCAGAAAAGAATGTACAATGTTATATTTTCTCTGTTTAGCTGAAATACAAAGCTGAGTACATCAAACAACGAGGCCACTATGTTGGAGTTCCTAATGCAAACGCTGATCCTAAACTGAAGTGGTCCAAGCATGTCACCATTATGCAGAATGACAGAGAGTACAAGAAGCTGTATGAAAAGTTGAAGTCCAAGATCCATATCCCTCCTGACATGGTACAACTGCAACAAGCCAAAATTGGACAAAGCCTGGCCAGTGAAATTGATTATCGGCACTATCTTCACCAATGGACATGCCACCCTGATCAGAATGATTGCATACAAGCCAGGAAGGCCTATGACCTCCAGAGTGATGTGAGTGATTGAAGGTTACTTCTAATCTGCCACGGTTTAATTACAGATTGGACTCTATAACCATGAATGTAATAATTAATTATTTCAGGCCATATACAAATCTGACCTGGAATGGATCCGTGGTTGTGGATGGATTCCTCTGGACTCTGTAGAGCATCAGAAAGTGAGGAAGGCTCAGGAGCTGGTCAATCAGGTCTGTCCTTTTAAATTATTATTTGTAATATTATTAATGAATGTCCATATTAGCATCATACAGTGTGGAGTATGAAGGGTACGTTTGGGCTTTATTGTTTTTAATTTGTGGCCTTCATACGGTAGTTTGGTGTGCTATTACAGAACCCTCTAGTCAATCGGAAGCGCCTCTTCATTCATATAAAGGTTCTATAAAGACAGCTTACCACAGCTTAAAAAAAAAAACAATTAATGAAATAACATAATTCTTATTTCCCTTTCAGAGAGCATACACTAAGGACGCCATTGCCAACTTTGATAAGTTCAGCCATGTGGTCGATACACCTGAAATTGTGCTTGCCAAGGCCAATGCCGTCAACCAAAGTGATGTAAGCATATATTTCACTTTAAATGTATTAGCCATCCACACAATGTGGAAGCAGTGTCACTGGAATTATTGATTAAATCACTGTCTGCCATGCTGCTCTGGGGCACATTTTAAAGATTATGTAAACCCAAAGTCAATTTATAGTTTGTTTAGCATCATGTCTCACTATGTATAGAATTCCTAAACAAATTATTTTTTGTTAATTTTGGCAACGTTTCTTTGAAGATCATGCCAGCAGCACCACTTTCTCTTGTAGACAATGTTCAGCTGCTGCCTTTAAATTAGCAGCAGCATTGTCAGCCTGCTCTATGTGCTTCTTTAGTTGGCCATTGGGCTGCCTATTAGATAGGCAGCCCAATAGCTAACTAAAGGAGTGCACATGACAGGCTGACAGCACTGCTGCTTATTGCAAGGGAGCATTTGAATGTTGTCAGTCTGCAACAGGAAATGCTGTAACTGGCAGGATCTCCAGGCAAGAAACTTTGCAGTTATGTGCTCAATTTTTGTCAGTTAAATAAAGGGTTTTGTTATATTTGTTCAATAAGTGTAAAAATATATATATCTGTATATATATAATGATATATTTTAAAATATGTTATATATACAACATTAAGCATGGCTTACTAATGTATCTCTTTTTTATTTCTTTCTAGTTGAGATACAAAGAAACCTTTAATGCGGAAAAAGGCCAGTACATTGGTGCTGCTGAAACTCCTCAGATCACCCACTCCAGGGAGATGTCCAAACTTGCTAGTGATGTAAGTTATTTAATGTCAGTAGATCAAACTAGCCAATGACACAAGTTTTGATATCTACTGTTCTTATAAACATCTATATTTTCCCCAGAAATCGTACAAAGACATATGGGACAACTCCAAAGCTCTGGGTTACCAACTGGATGAAAAGTACATTCCTATCGTTGGAGCCAAACACGCCAAAATTGTTTCAAGTGATGTAAGTGAAGTTGCTTGTTATGTGTTATTTCCTGCCCTTATTCCTCTTCTCTGAGACTTGTAACCAATGCCATAACTAAATAAAAAATCTGTTTTATAGCTGAAGTACAAAGAACACTATGAAAAGGAAAAGGGACACTACCTTGCTGGAGCCAAGATTGATGACTTCCCAAGTGTTGTGCATTCATTAGCTTTCCAGAAAATGAAGAGCATGGTAAGACTGTTCATTCATGTACAATAGCTATTTGCGAAATAATATATATGTTTACCATGTATTTACAGTGATTGCTGTTAAGGATCAAGTTTACACAAAATAGGAAACATAGGATGTGGGTTCTTAGAGATATTGCTGCAGTTACCAGATGTCCAGGTGGGGTTCACTGTGAAGGTTCTCATTTATCCAAGTCATAGTATAGCAAGTAGTAGTTAAGCGCATTGAACTGGACTTGTTCTGTATTGTTAAAGACATTTGACACTTGGATGAGTGCCAAAATGTCTTCAACATTGCAGAACAAGTGCAGTTGTATGTGACTAACTACTTCTAGCTACAGATGGGGTTGAAATGTTGTGTTTTCTACATGTAAGGTTGTGAACTGGAACCTTTGCACCACCATCCTAGGCCTCCCCATATGCAGTACAAACTTGTGTGAAAAGATAAGACACCAACATAATTAGGATGTGTATGATTATAAGCTTGATGGTCAAATCCTACCAAATTAGACCATAACCTAATGTGTATTTAAAAGTAGACCTGTCTGTCCATACCAGTGGCAGTTTTTAAACCCCTATTGAAAAATGACTGGCTTTGAGGCAAGTGCTGACTTGCCGAGCAGTTGATAAGAACCATCACATTTTTAAAATGTTATTACAACTAGGCTTAAACTAGCTGATATAAAGGTCACTTAGAAAGTTCACTGGTAAAAACAGCTGGATCCATGTACAATACTTCCTCTGGCATGCCAAGTTAGCTTCTTATTCTTTTGTTTTATCTAGCTGGCCTACAAGAAGAATTATGAGGACAATAAAACAAAGATTAATCTTCCACATGACATGATAAACAACGTCATTGCCAAGAAATGCCAGCAGATCCTGAGTGACATTGAATACCGCCGCTATCTCCATGAATGGACGTGCCTACCGGATGAGAGGAATGTCATCCATGCCAAAAAAGCTAATGAAATCTTGAGTGATGTAAGTTACAATACACCAAAAACGATTTCATACTAAGAAACAGTTTGATATATATAAAAAAATTACCTAAGATACATACGGACATTGGGAATAAAAGATCCAGCTCAAGAAATTATAGCTAAAATAATCCAAGTTAACCTACATGCTGTTTTGTCTTCACAGGTTGCCTACAAGGAGGATCTTACCTGGCTGAAGGGCATCGGATGCTATGTGTGGGACACACCAGAAATCTTGCTTGCTAAAAAATCATATGACCTTCAGAGTCAAGTGAGTAACACTAAGGGGGTCAGTTTATAAAGCAGCAGCATGGTATTAGTACAAAAGTACTCCAGCACAGTTATGTGTTTTACAGGGTGTTTTACAAATGTGTCCTGGAGCAACTGAAACCCCATTAAGTTAACTATTATAAAAATGAAGAAAGAAAGCCATGACAAAGAGAGCCCCAACATATGTTCTGTCCAAAACATATGACTGAGCTCTACTCCAATCATGAAACGTTTTCTGCAGAGTTATGTAGAGAACACTCCAAAAGGCACTACAGGCTCCACATCATGGCCTGCATTTTGTAAATGAGTTACAAAATACAGACGAAGTGTGGAGTAAACTCTGCATTAGCCTGTGAAGAGCAGATAACGTATTCCTAGTTAGTCTGTTAACACCTAAGCGTTATTTGAGCTGTAGAGAACGAGCTTCAAAATGCCTTAACACAAGAAATCCTATGATTTTCAATGGCCCCTATTCACACCTGAGCAGCAAAATTCCAGCAGCAAAACGCCAAGCGCAGAATAAAGTACATGAGCTTCTTTTGGGAGTTTGCACCTTTTTTTTCCCCATAGACTTAAATGTCAATGTCAAGAAACGTGTGACAGTAGCATTTTGCACCCTTTTGTGTTTGTATACGCATTTGTCCATTGACCGCAATGTCTCTCAAGCTGCTAGTAAAAACATGCATCTTCATGTGTGCGCATTTAACGCATGCGAAAATTTGCGAAACCCGCATCAACGTGCAAAAAACAGCCCCCCGAAAACACGTGTTAAAAAAGCACAAAAACGAAGGTGCCTTGGTGTGAACATGGCCTGACAGTGGAACCCCAGCCAAAACATTTTGTTTTTGGTGGTTTTGGATAGAATGGGGAAATAATGCAATCTCTATAGGTTTTTATTGATGTCTTTGTCCCTGCTGGGTAGATTTTCCCTTTACTTCCTTTCCCCGTGATCATTGTCACCAAAAAAAAATATGTTTTCATTGTCGTAAATTTTTCTGGTGGGGTTGTCACAGGAACAGGGTTATATCTAGGATTTATACCCATCCTTATGCAAATCCCTACCTTTAGGAGTATGGGAATGTATCCCAGCTCCAAATACTTACCTTTTGCTATCTTAGTTTCTCCTCCACTTTTGGCAACTATGCATGTCTATACCCTTAGAGTGTCAGCTAATATCAGGAAAAGTCCTATAACAGTGTGAACACTGCTCTTACTAGAACAACATACAATACACCTGCAGAGTAGCAGAGATATGGGGCCAACCGCTAAAAAAATTCCAATATAATATGTAAATAAAACAAAATCAAAATATGGATATTGGAGATAGATAGATAAATATAGATAGACGATAGAGATAGATAGATAGATAGATAGATAGATAGATAGATAGATAGATAGATAGATAGATAGATAGATATGGGTATCAATATTTATATTATAATTCCTTTTCTCCATGTGTTACAGATTCAATACCAGAAAGCAAGCAAGGACAATTACCCCAACTTTAGCGTTGTTACAGACACTCCTGTGTATGTCACAGCTATCCAAAGCGCCCTCAACGCCAGTGAAGTAAGTACCATTGATCCATTCCAGAAATGGTCGTGGCATAGCTAACAGTTTAATGTTCTGTTCAGTCATGCAGTTTTGTCTTCTTCCTGTTTAGCGTAAGTACAAAGAGGACTATGAGAAGACCAAAGATAAATACACAACTGTTCTGGAGACCGTAGACTACAGCCGCACTCAGAACCTGAAGGATCTGTTCAGTCATGTATGTATCAATACGATGTTTGCAATATAAGGGCTAAGCCTGGGCCCAGTGACTACAGTTTCCTGATAACGTGAACTTTTATTCTTCAGAACCTGTACAAACAAGCCTGGGACACTATCAAAGCCACCAGCTACCAAATTCCAGCGGACACTGTGGCCTTGTCATTGGCTAAAAAGAACAAGCACATTGCCAGCTCGGTAAGTAGATTATCAGTAGTCAGATTCATATTATTATTTTATTTTTATTTATTCAAAAAAAAAAATTCTTTATCAATTAAAAAAAGAATTTCCACCTAACTTTATTGGTATCAAACAGAAAAAAACAATCCCCTGTGTGATAGCAATTGGAGGTGACAGGTTCTCTTTATTGACCCTGTCACCTCCAATACAAGAGTTCTAGCACTGCGCTGTGCTGGAACTTCTGTGACAGGTGAGAGAGGAAGAGCACAGCTCTCCCCTCTCACTGTCTACAGTCTGCACGGAGCGGCAGGGTTACTTTTAACCCTGCCGCTCACTGCAGTGAGGAGACGGACTCGGCGGCGGAGCCCAGAAGGCGGAGCCAGAGGAGAGAGGTAAGTGCAGGGGGAGGGGAGAAGGCTGCAGACTGTTTACATGTGATCTCGGCGACATTGCCAAGTTCACATGTAAACGAAAAGTCGGCTGCCTCAGTCTACATTTAGTCCTGCAAGTGCAAAGCAGGACTGAATGCAGAGAGGGCAACTTCCCCACAAGCACACCGCTGCCGCCCCTCTGCGCCCTGCCGCCCCGAGGACTGGCCTCAGTGGCCTTGTAGGGAATCTGGGCCTGTCAGTAGTGTTTAAAGTTAATTTATGATTAAAAAATCTTAAACATTGTTTCAGTTCTCTTCCCAACTCTCAACGTATTAGAGGTGCTCATAGACATAAGACCAGGTGACAGTCTTATGTCTACCAGCAGCTGCAGACTGACCTGGGCAAATACTTTTCTTTACGGCAAGATAAACTTGTCCCAAGGCTGCTTGCAACATTTCTGCATGGGCATCAGTGGCGTAACAATAGCCATAGCGACCCAGGCGGCCGCTATGGGGCCCGGGCACAGGGGGGCCCGGCCAGGACACCCCCCTGATGCCGTGCAGGACGCCTGGGTCTCTATGGGTTTGAATGCGCCGCTGTTTAGATCACCGTGATCTGCGCAGCTCTGCGATCTTCTCCATAGCCCCTGCTGAGTCAATGAGAGTCAGCAACGGCGGTGGAGGACGGAGCGGGCCCGGCGACGGAGGACGCAGGACGGAAGACGGAGGAAGAAGAGGCGGACAGGTAAGGAGTGTGTCCAGCCCACCGGAAGGTGACCCTGCAAAGCCCACCATAGAGAGTCTATGGTGGGCTCTGCGGGGTCACCCTCAGGTGAGCTATGTGGGCTCTTCAAGGGGTGTAACTAGAAATCACAGGGCCCCATACAAAATTTTGCTATGGGGCCCTGTGATTTCTAGTTACGCCCCTGACTGGCATGACAATCATTCATATTCATGTCTGCAGAGAGGAGTGTGGAAAGTTAGCTCAGACAGTAATTGGAGTTTGCATGCCGAAACACAAACACTGTGCTTTCCAAAGCATTCGTGTTTATGCACACAGTAGCCAAATAATTTGGTAGAGAGCGGTCAGATTGTGATTGTACATTTGGCTGCACTTTGAATGTGTGGCTTCAATTGCTCTAGATCTGCTTATCAACCCTTGCAATTGCCTTCCAGCCATTCTTTTTTCAATACAATGTACAGCAAGCCTATATCATGGAGCTATTCTGCATAAAAGTACAAAATAATAAAAGTGAATAAGATAATATTAATAGTATTAAATAATAAAATGATAGTAATGAATGTGCTGTGTTTCAATTGAAGCGCAGAACATTCATTATTATAATTTGATACATTTAGAGGGTAACACTTCTTATAGTGCTTGCAGCTACACAGGGATTGGTGCAAGGTGCTATTTGTCATTAGTTTTAAATAATATGCTATAGAATCTGGAAATTACAAACTGACCACTTCTATCAGAATTGCCTGTAAACCTGATGCTTCTGTTTCTTGCCCTCCAGGTCTGATTGGCACATCACTAACTGTTTATCATTTTCTTTCAGCTGAAGTACCGTGAGGAATATGAGAAGTTTAAAGCACTTTATACCTTGCCAAGAGGTGTCCAAGATGATCCAAACACAGCAAGATGTCTCAGAGTTGGAAAACTCCCTCTGGATGTGAGATTCTTCATTATTGCATAACTTTTAAAGAACATCTCCCGGAAAATAAATAAATCCATACATGTCATATTACACATAGACAATTAGTATATATGTGTATATATATATAAGATAGATAGATAGATAGATAGATAGATATTGCAAAGACTAGTTCTAAAAAAGTTTTAAAAAGGAAGAAAAACGGGGATGTTTGTGATATGCAAATACTAAACACAACACGTATATAAAAAGCATTCTGTTTTTAATTTTTTTCCGTATAAAAAGAGTTTTTTTGACATGAACAATGTCTCCTGGTTAAAACAATAAGAAAACAAGCTAAGAGTTGTCTACCACAGTTGCGGTGAGCTGGACATATCAGATGTTTGAAGATTGCCCAGTTCTACCATATTAATGTTTTATACAGTCTGCCATGGCTGTAGCTGCCTGTAAGTACCCATGGCACCTTTAAATGGTTTGCTCCAGCTTCTGTAACTGTCACTTTTGCCAGACCGCTCGGCCTGTTACAGGAAGGGACAGCAGGTAATAAAATGTAACCAAGGGGCACTCAGAAAAACAAAAAAAATGCTGTGAATTCTGTAAGTTATTATTGATTTTGCCTTTAACCCCTTCGTGACTGACGACGTACAGTGTACGTCGCCAGCATCGGGGCTGTTTAAACAGACTCCCGGTGACTTTTGCCGCCGGGAGTCTGTTTAAACTTGTAGAGCCGACTGTCGGCTTTACAACAGAAGCGATCCTGGCGACTTACCTGTCGCCAGATCGCTTCTGCGTCCCGAAGAAGGGGCCGCCCCCCCCCCGCCGGACACCCCCGCCGTGCTTCCCGGGCTCCGTTGCCCCTCCTACGGGTCCGGGACCGGAACAGACCTAAAATTGAATTACCCTCTAACATCTTTTGTTACCTTCCTGAGTTCCTGGTACCCTGCCTGCACATTTATCTCCTCCTACCATTAAAAATAAAGGTAAACTCAGAA